TTATCTTTTTAGCGCTTCTTTCTGGAAAAGAAACATAATCAACAAGTTAGTGCTTGACTGGAAAAGTGATTAATTAGGTCCATAGTGATAGAAGTTCATGAACCGGCATACTTCAATTAGTTTCGTAATTCTTTGACAAATCCTATAGTTACCAACTAATTACAATTATTAAAAAGTAAAAAAACCTTGCTAGAAAAATTATCAGTCCACTTGATATTGACTTAAACAGAAAGGGAAATGACTTGAGGTCCTTTTTCAATTAATTTCTAATTGTCTATGTTTTGGTTACATGAATTTCCAATTGTGTGTGTATTATATATATATATATATATATATAACCGGCATACTTCAATTAGTTTCGTAATTCTTTGACAAATCCTATAGTTACCAACTAATTACAATTATTAAAAAGTAAAAAAACCTTGCTAGAAAAATTATCAGTCCACTTGATATTGACTTAAACAGAAAGGGAAACGACTTGAGGTCCTTTTTCAATTAATTTCTAATTGTCTATGTTTTGGTTACATGAATTTCCAATTGTGTGTGTATTTTATATATATATATATATACATCCCAAAGTTATCAGGGCTTTACGTTCATGAAAGAAACAAAACCATGATGGTTTGTTCCATATTCTCTTTTTTATCTTTTTAGCTAGTCGCTTCTGGAAAAGAAACATAATCAACAAGTTAGTGCTTGACTGGAAAAGTGATTAATTAGGTCCGTAGTGATAGAAGTTCATGAACCTGCATACTTCAATTAGTTTCGTTTCTTTGACAAACAAATCCTATAGTTACCAACTAATAACAATTATTAAAAAGTTAAAAAACCTTGCTAGAAAAATTGTCAGTCCTTGATATTGACTTAACCAGAAAGGGAAACGACTTTAGGTCCTTTTTCAATTAATTTCTAATTGTCTATGTTTTGGTTACATGAATTTCCAATTGTGTGTGTATCTGTATATTATATATATATATATATATATATATATATATATATCTTCTTCTGTATATTATTTAACTTTTTAGGAACACACTCGAATCTCTAGTGCGGAATCATATATTGATCTCCAATTATGTTAAAGTTATAATTAAAAATGCCAGCTCCTAATGGAACTGATCAGGGACCAATTCGAAGGGTCAAAAGTTCGATTAATGTCAGTGTTCATCCAGTTCATGTAAATTGCCATTAGATAAATATATGGTCTGCCGCCTGCCCACTAATTCTTTCATGGTCTGGAAATAGATAGCTATCTCTCACTAAAACTCTTTTCAAAGTTTTGGTAAACGCGCTAAGTAGGTCTAGATGAAGTCCATACGTACTCATAGTTCCACTTTGGTGGTCAAACTTAGGAAACAAATCTTTCGATCATGGATAATAAAAAAGTTTGTTTTTATTCAACAAAAAAAAATTTGTTATTTTATTCACTATTTAGGTCGCCAGGTATATGCACATTCAGCAACTATGTCTATGTTTATGAGATTAGTGATAGTGGTAGTGATTATTTAACCCCAAAACACCACTTTATTGGCCATATTAATCTTCCTCATTTTTTAGGAAAGTTATCTACAAAATACATAAATGTGTCAATTAGTCACTCATCATATTGTCTATGTTTTTATAGAATAATGTTAGCCAGCTTTATCCTTTGCAACTAATGTCAGGTGGTTGTTACAGTATTATAGTCTAGTGATATTTCTCTTCACTTGTGAGTGAGGGGTTTTAGGTTCGATTAGGCTAGTATTCGAATCAAGTTATTATGACTAGCCCATTGTGAGTGTTAGCACTCCCCCACCGCTTAGTGTAAAGAATATTGTATGTTTTAAAAAATGTCCATGATTATTGACAATTAATTTTTCTTATTATGTCAAAATGTGCGTAAATGTGTTTTGATCGCTACGGTGTCTTTTATATTGGGAGAGAAGAGGAAGTGAATACATGACCTCAAATGTAGCGTAAAAATATTTTAGCACCAAACTCTTGTAATACGACTTCTTATGCAATATGTATGTCATTAATTTGATATATTAGTGGGCAACCCATCTAGCTAATGGCCAGTCAATGGGTCGGATTTTAGTGTGTCGAGAATACTATCTAGTATATCAAGTGTCACAATATAAATAGTTTGACATTTAGTGTATGGGGCCATGTACTCGGTATACTGAAAAAATTTCTCCAAATGGGTCAAGCTGCAAATTTGATTAGTTGGCTTACTATATATACCGTATATTACTTGTATATACATAATATAGCATTTGCAAATTCAAAATTTCAAACTATCAAGAAAGAAAAAGAAATACCAACCCCTTGAATTGTCTTTCAATTTCTCGGCTGTTTTTTTATGTTCCTGTAAGATAAGATTATGTTGATTCTCTTAAAGCTACTTAAAGATCATTCCTTGTTTGTTTGAATTTGTTAGCAATTATAATCCATATGGTATTTGGTCAATTCGTTTGTCTTTAACAAATTCGTTGGACATGCAATTTAGAGAGAAAATTCATAACCATACATAATTAACGTAGTTATTTGACACTATAGTACACTGAATCTCAATAGAACCAGCTTCGCACAAACTTAATTGTAATATCTAATTATATATGGATTAGTTTGTTATTGTAGTTAGATTAACCTAATACGGAACAAACTACTCATTTTGGTCTACCTTAAAATCTGGTTCCATTACCTGAACTTATTGTTTAGGCTCTCCTTGAATGACGATCATTTATCCCTCAAGAAATTACGCAATCTAAATGTGATTAGATTAATAGATGAACACAATGTTTCGATAAAAGAACTAGTTTAACTATCGCGATAATCATGTAAAGTGAGCAGGATTGCATCACCTAGTCCATACTAAACCCAACTTAGAGGAAATCTTGCATATTTAACCTTTAAAGTTAGATCCAAAAATTAACGATTCAAATCATGTGCATCGTGTAATTAAATAAGAGTCGAACATTACAAACTTTTTGTATTTTATTTTGTTGCAATATCCAAATTTCTTCCAATCAGCTTACACATATTGGGATGTTTAAATCAATTTGAATCAGGGTTGTGATGGATAGGCTGGAATACTCATCAAACATTCACATACGCAAGTGGAACAGATGATCAAAAGGAGAGAGTAGACACATTAAACAACATAATTAACATTTTATTCATCCGTTAATCCATATCATACATAAAGGACATTGGACAATCATCTACTCAAAACCCTACATTAACATAGCACGATAACAACAGTTTAAGCATGATTCTGAGTAGTGATCAACGGCAGCTGATTAATCCTCCTCTAGAGAAGCAGGCAGGTTCAGATCTGGTACATTGTCGAAATCTACTCGATGAAGCTTTATGACACCAACCTTAGCCGTCTGATGATGATCATGGCCCCGCACCATCTGCTGATTGGATTCAGAGATGAGTTTGGTCATATGAAGCAGGATTTCAGAGACCTCAATCTCATCCGCCTTGAACTCACTAAAACGATTAGTACTAGTGTTAACAAGAGGTTTAGGGTTATTATGGTAGGGGGTACTGAGGCTGCAATTATTCATCCTTTCTTGAACTGATTAAATTATGCATGTGTTCAAGGGATACTGTGCTATATATACAAATTGAGAGGGGATTTCTTTTCCCAATCCTAATAGGGAAAGTAGAAATTACCTAATTTGAACATTTGACCAAGTTATGCAAATTAAAATGCAAGTTATATAAACCTTATGATTGTTTTGGGCTACAAATTATGTATAACTTCCCCCAAAACAGTGTGATCCAGTACTAGGGTTTCCTTTCATTTTTATTTTCTCAATTTTGTGCTAGGTATGGCTAGAGTGGGTCTTATAATCAAAAGTGAGCTCCTAAAACCAAGTCTAATTAGGATAATCAAGTTAAAACAATTTTTGGCCTTTCTTACCCAGTTTTAGACAAACGATCGTACCACAACAAAGTTACACCACATAAATGAGACTATTCACAATGAAACATATAAACTGGTAATATTACGTGATGGTGTGACTGTCATGGGCTGATAGTCATGTATTTGATTACAATCTATGAAAAAAAAAATCCAAATAGAATCGTGGACTACTTAGAAAATCCAACTCAGCAAAGAAAAGAAGGTAGAATATCCAATATCGATTAGGATAAGGATTAAATTGGAAACAAATCCTTACATAAAAAGGTAAGGGTCTATTTAGTATCCTGTTTGAAATTTTTTATCATTTCTTAAAACATTTCTTGAAAATAATTTTCTTTAAGACTCTAAAACTTGATTGGTTTGCAATTTAAAAATTTTATATCTTACGACTTAAATTAGACAAAAATATTTAAAAAGAGGGGGTCTCAGGAGAGGGAGGAAGAGGAGAGAGGAAAGAGAAAGAAGAGAGATGATTGGACGAGATAGAAAGGAAAATGAGTGAGAGAAATAACCGAGAGAATGAAGAGAGTGGATTAGAGGAGAGACGAAAATAGTGAAAAAAAAAAAAAAAAAAAGAGGAGAGAGAAAGAAGAAAAGAGAGAGATAGATTTGGAGTGGGAGGAGGGAGGGAAGTCCTACCATACTTGACTTAAAACTTGAAAATTATTTTTAAGTTTGAAAAGTTGGATTCAAGTAGAATACTAAACAGATTCTAAAAAATTCAAAAGAAAAATTATTCAAATATATAGTTTGCTATGTATTAAATTATTGTCTAATTTTTTGAGGTGAATTGTTATTGGTACTCCAAAAATCTCGTTATACACTCTAAACTTTTTATATTTGGAAAGAAAAATACACTTGTGAGTAGTGTAGAATAAGATTTTTAAAGTGCTAATAACACTTCCTTGTTTTAAACACATATGACATTATCTTCCAATTTCGATTTCTTTGGTCTCATCATCAAAAGGGTAATTAACATGCCAAAACACCAAGCAATCATGAAACCTAGTTCTTATCAATTAAGCATATTTGTTTTAATTAATAAAAAAAATTGAAAATTTTGTTTTTAACTAAATCAAGAGACTATACAGCACACAAAGAACAAAGTAGGTAAACAAGAACAAATCAACGGCTGGGAAGATCAAGGGCTGGCAGCTTGCCAGCTAGGCTATATTCCAACGTTCACTGTCCGAATTCCAGACCACATTTCTGATCCTTGTAGGGAATAATTACCGCGTCAACCAGGTGTCTCGTTTCCTGCCCTTTCTTTCTATCTTCAACCTCAAAATTAGGGCTTCCTCAATTTCTCCCAATTTTTTCTCCAATTCCATTCGACCCCAAAATAAAAATTTAAAGCGATTTTACATTCGATTCCAAACGTGAAGTCGAATTCGAGAGAACCCCCAAAATGACAAGCTTCGATTTGGGAAAAAAGATCGAGGATTTCTTGAATTTGGGGAAAAAAGCATGAAGCTTTCTTTGAATTTGGGGGAAGGTTCAGAGCTTCAGGGAAGGCTGGAATTCTAGGGTTTTGCTTTTCTTTTCTCAAAGATCAAATCTTTACCTCCACATTATGGATACCCAATTCCCCAAATCCCTAATTTCAATTTCTTCCCTTGTTCTTTTCGCCTTCTTCATCGTCCTCTGCTCCTTCCCAGCCGTCCGATCAGAACCAGAGTCCGTATCCGAATCCACCCTCATCAGATTGCCCTCTGAATCCGAGCCATCCGATCCCTGTGGCCGATCGACCCGGTCAGCCTCCTTGTGCCCGGTCAATTGCTTCCGCCCTGACCCGGTCTGCGGCGTCGATGGCGTGACCTACTGGTGTGGCTGCCAAGATGCCCAATGCGCTGGGGTCAAGGTGGCGAAAATAGGGTTTTGTGAGGTGGGTAGCGGCGGCTCCGCCCCCCACTCTGCTCAAGCTTTGCTTTTGGTTCACATTGTTTGGCTCATCGTCCTCGGCTTCTCCGTCTTGTTCGGCCTGTTCTGAGAGTTTTCGGCTTCTGGGTCCGATTCGATTCATCGCTTTGGTTGGTTTTTCGGAAGCTTGCATTGGCTGAGCTTCTGAAGATTGCCAACTTTAGCAGAGCATTTGAATTAATACATTGTGGAAGATATGTCAAATTCATTACTTGCTGCGCAATTCAGATTGATTTGTTTTGGATTTCGCATTTGGCGGTATACAAATTCTTTGGCTCGGCGTTGCGGCTGACTGTGTTCTTTGATTTGAGGAGGCTGCCGTGTTATTCATTTGGGTGGAAGATAGAATTTGGGTTATTGGGTTTTGTTACAAGTTGGTATAGGAGATTAATTTTAGGGTTTTTTTATTTGTTAATTGTTGATTTTCTTTTGAAGTTTTTGTTAATCCTTGTATGCATCATTATATTTGTATTTTCTCTGTAGAACTATTCTGTAAACTTGAATCATAATTAACATTCTAATCAGGTATTAATTTCCATACATTTGTTCAAACGTTTGCATTCGATTTTTTTATTTTTTCCAGAAAGGTTTTGAGAAATATGAAAATGCTTGTTTAATTTGATAAAAGTAATGAATTCACCCAAAAAATATGGTGGCAAATGTCTCCGCTGGAGCTGGTGAGCTGTTGTTGCACCCACCCCACCAAGGATTTGGGTTGGTTATAACTTGTGTTGTAGCCTTTCAATGATTGGTGATCCTATGATTCATTCTCATCAACCATATATTTACCCTACAAACTTGCATGCAACTACGACGTTAAAAAAAAACCTACTTGCAATGAGAACGGTAAGGTTAGCTGGAACTTTAGGGCACAATTTGTGATTTGAAAGTGCTACTAGTTATTTTAAAGACATTTCCAAACATGTCCCTGAATATTTTGTTAGATTGTGATGGTAACGTCAATTGGTTTGGGAAAAAGTCATAAAAATGCTTAATTGGATATTTTTGTCACTTTTTGGGCTTACCTGTATCTTGGGGTGTTTGGGTTAGCCCCAATTGATTTGACTGCTGAGGTATTTTGGGCTCAAATTATTGTGTTCTGCGGCTTCTGCCCAAGCGATTTATGCACTGCTAGTTGATCTTATACATTCGTTTGTTTAGAGGCATGTTTAGTAACTAAGAATCAAGGTAACCATGAATCAAGATAAGCAATAATCGAATTCGGCAAGAATCGAGATAAGCAGATTGGGATAGGCAGGAAACGGATTCAGGCATTCCCATTAAACTGTTTATTAATTGTCAGGAATTAGAATGAAAATAAAATTGATTCTCATTATAACTGTTTACAATTGTCCATAATCCGAATCAAAACCAATTTGGCTACTTTGTAATTTTTGTTTCCGCTGCATTTCTTATGTGTGTTATGTATGAATTCTAGTTTGCTTTGTATAATAGTACTCTTACGTTCTTTTACTACTTAGCAAATCTGCGCGTATCTCATAGTAGGGGTGTGATAAAAATTAATGTTAAAGAAACATTTATATTAAAAGTCTTAAATATTTACATTAAAAGAAGAAAAAGAAATATTTGCTCAAACACTCAATCCAAATGACAATATAGGGGAGAGATTAGTTACCCTAATGCGCACACCACCCATTCAATGTTTCTGTTTTCCTTCCAAACGCTCCAATATATGTTCTTCATCGATCAGGTACTCGACCAAGCCTTTAAAATAGTTCAAAGTAAATAAATATATCAATTTCCTAAACACATCCTAATTAATAAAATAATTAATTATACCTAAGTGAATCTCAGCACAACATAGCAAACAAAAATACTTAATTATGGATTAACAATTAACTCTAGTTTATGCGGATTTAGCAAAATAATTAAGCTATCTCAATGCAGAGATGTAAAATTTTTACGATATCATGATGGCCAACTCTAAGATTAGTTTCCCATACTTTGTTGAATTCAAGTGCCATATCAATGGCACCTGATCCTTTGGGAGAACCAACGTACCAGCATTTGCTTCTCGGCAGTTTCGACAACTTCCTCGTAAGAACAACTCCTAAAAGAAAAATACAGGCTAGTCTAAAATAGCAAGAAATAAAAACAAACTCAGAACGGAGCGAACTGCAAGGGCGAAAACAAATAACGTAGGTGTAGTAGTATGTTGAAAACAAGTTGCAAGGGCCAGTTACACGGTATGAGACTGAAAATCAGGATCAAGGATTCGAAGAAATAGTGTTTCAAGACGGTATATCATAATATCAAAGAGGGCGAACAAGAACAATCCCCAGTTTGAGGTGCATCGGCCAGTTTTAATTTAAGGTATTATTTGGACATTGATGTTTGCATCATGTTTTCAATAACTTACTAATGCATGTCAATTAGCGATGAACTATGCTTTCTTGAGCAACATCAAAGATGTAGTAGATGATGTACGTAGCTAGGCTTACCGGATATTGCTTTCCCAGATAGAACTGCAAGGGCTACATATATGTTTTCAGGATCTTTAGGTTGAAAATCGAAAACCATGGCCTGCAAAAAAGTGACTCGAAGACATTAGAGTTCAAATTTTGAAACTTTTGTATTGAATAGGTAACAAAATATGGAAACCAGGCCCATGTTAATAGACATTTTCCCAAAAAAAAAAAAAACTGTTCGGATTAAGTACTAATTAGGACACTTGAGCTAGACTTCTCAAGTTCTCAACTAGTATTAAATCTAAATAGGAAACCATGGCCTGAAAAAAAGTGACTCGAAGACATTAGAGTTCAAATTTTGAAACTTTTGTATTGAATAGGTAACAAAATATGGAAACCAGGCCCATGTTAATAGACATTTTCCCAAAAAAAAAAAAAAACTGTTCGGATTAAGTACTAATTAGGACACTTGAGCTAGACTTCTCAAGTTCTCAACTAGTATTAAATCTAAATAGGAAACCATGGCCTGAAAAAAAAGTGACTCGAAGACATTAGAGTTCAAATTTTGAAACTTTTGTATTGAATAGGTAACAAAATATGGAAACCAGGCCCATGTTAATAGACATTTTCCCAAAAAAAAAAAACTGTTCGGATTAAGTACTAATTAGGACACTTGAGCTAGACTTCTCAAGTTCTCAACTAGTATTAAATCTAAATAGGAAAAAAAATCAGTATTTAAAACGAAGAAACTGTAGTATGCCTATGCAATATGGTGCAGGTTCAATCCTCACTGATTCCTTTTATCCTAATAACTAATTAACTATTTAACCAACTAACGTTATCGTTTATAAATATAAAAAAAAAAAAAGGGAAAAAAACTAGCATTTTAGTATTTAATCTCAGTTAACCTATTTTAAACACTCTGCAATCAAGCATCAGTTTGGTAATTGAATTGCATGAGAGTTAAATTTTGGCGAAGAAAATCAAGAAGAATATTAAGGTGCCAATTATTAATAACCTTATACAGAGAAAGAGAGGGAGGAGAACCTGACAATCAGGTGGTGGTGAAGAGGGTTTGATAATAACCATGAGATGCAGCAAATTCCAGAGATTGAGAGAATAAGCAGCAGATGTAAGCAGCTGGGCATCTCCTTTTGTTGCTCTTAGAGGCACTGCTGCAACATAAACTTCATCCCTTCCTTTGGTCACTGTTGGTTGAATGAGCTGTGAGGCCATTTGGTTTGCCAAAATGAAAAAATTGAATCATTGCAGATGAACAAAAACTATATTTGAAAATTATTAAACATTATCTTTATAATTATAAAAGGGAATAATTGGCAATTTTGGTTCATTTCTGTCCACTAGGTTAGCCTTGGTGGAAATCATTTGTCAATTGACTCAATTCCAGCTCAAAGATCATTAAAGACAAATGTTGGGTGAAAATTCCATGCACAAGATAAAGTTAAGAGATTTCTTCACGCTTTTCATATCATTTTTCTTCTCAAGGCCCATCAAGCTTTTTATATGGTTTGTGTTTGAGAGGTTTTATACAGCTAATGGTATTGAATCATTGGTGTACTAGTCGATGGTATTCCTAGGTCGAAAGAGCTTTTCAAACAGCATAGTTATTAACACAATTATACTTAATTAGTAGCTACCGATAACTATTGACATCAACCTGAATAACTTGAACAATCAAATTATAGAAATTGTCCACATATATATCATCTATTAGGTGACTATTTGAGATAGCAAATTGCAATTTACAAATTATCATCGGTAGCATACATATCACTACTTCAGTATAAGCTCTTAATTGTGGATTAAATTATAGAGCCGTGTGTTGCGTAACAATTGTTAATATGGCTACTTGAGAAATGAAAATGCATTTCACACAACTTATCAATGATGGCATTCATATTAACCTTTCCAATGAATCCATGGGTACACCTAAAATCCCTAAATATTAACAATTGAGTTTTTTCTTCCGACCATCATGTGCTACTCTCCATGATGCACCTTTGTTGTAAATAAGGAAAAAGAAACTACCAACCAGAAAGAAAAGCTTGATCGAGTACTGAAAAATGAACTTGACTCAATTTTCATGGAAGTAGTAGCTATATATATAGTACTACAATGATCGATCTTATTATTCAAATGTTCAAACGTAAGTACATGCACCACGATACAATTCATCATGTCTACCATATGTATATGGAAAGCTAGCATTAACTAGGTTCCACACACACCTGATAATTTTCTTAGTTGCTCCTTATTTAATTTCTTAAACCACTAAATTAAAGACATATGATAGATCCCTTCACATTCATGCAAACCCCAAATCACTCAGCCTTCACCCCTGGAGCTTCAGTGCCAACTTTCTCCTCAACCTCAGCTGCCTTCTCTTCCTCCTTACCTGCTACCTCCTCACCTGCTACCTCCTCTTTAGGGGCCTCAACTGCTGATTCTGCCTCTGGTGTAACTGGTACCACCGGAGGAATCTCAGCAGAGTCATCAGCAGTATCCTCCTTGTCCTTGGCCTCCTCCTCAAGCACTGGTTCTGGCTCTGGCTCAGGTGCTACCTTTTTAGGTGTAGTAGTTTCCTCTTCAGTTGTAGTCTTATCCACAGTTGGTTCTTCTTCTTTTTCGACTGCTGCAACTTCCTTGGACTCCTGTACCTTCACATCCTTTGCCTCAGCTTCAACTACGGTTTCCTCGACCTCAGCCTTAGGTACTTCTTCCTCAGATGCCACAACAGTCTCTGCAGCTTCCTTTGGCTCCTCCGCAACTTCAGCTGCTGGTTCTTCAGTAGTAGGTGTGATAACAATCTCTTGAGCCTTGACTGATTCCTCGTGACGAGTTGTGTCCTCTAAAGGAAGGGCTGTCTGTGCTGATACAACCTGCATGATCATAAATACGTACTTATAAAACTCTTACTTAATATTTTATACTTAACTAAAGGGTCAATTAGTTAAATTTCCAAGAGAGTTTGAAATGATCTTCACCAAATTGAGGAAATAATTTCTTGCATAACTCTTCTTATTTTAATTCCTTAATTCTTCTTTGATGAAGAACAAAAATAAATAAGAATATATTGAGAGACAAAATGAATGTGCGAATTCACTTCTCACAAATTAAAGTAAAATAAGCCAATCTAGAACTGAAGTTGAGTGAATACCTGAGCAGTGGCCATAATGGGAATCGAAAAGTGATCAAATTGAACAAATAAGAGGATCAATAGAAAGGCAAACTTAGAAGACTGAGAAAGCCAAGAACAAATTAAAACTAATGGTTGCAATGAAGAAAAATGATCAATGGTATGGTTTATATAGAGGAGTCCATAGACCTCACTGCCTCATGGTTGATGCACGAGAGGACCTCAGTGGGGCGGTGGGGGTGAGAGAACCTGAGGAATCTGGGATTTGACGCCTCATATCTCTCAAAATTCAAGAGATTGACATGTTTGGTAATAATGCCACAAAAAAGGTAGTGGATCGATTTTTGGGTTAAATAACCTCTATAATTAGCTGTTATAATAATATTAGGATGGCAGCGAATGTCAATAATGGAGGTCATTTTTTTATTTTCTTTTCAATCCAAGCCATCATTCTTCGTTTGGTTGTGTGTGATCCTGTGCTTTGTGCAGTCGGGTTTGCAGGGTTATATTACCATCATATCCACTCAGACGCATCTTTCAAATCTTGATTACTTACCTACCATTTGTTTGGCCTCTTGAGAAAAGCTACCGCGCATGTTACTATTCCATCACCTTATGGAGAAATCTTCTGGTGCCACACTAATACTGTCACGTAGCTTTAGTAATTTATGTGTTTTTTTAATATGAATGGTCTGTGTATATTTTTTTTTAACAAATGATATTATCTACATTAAAGGGTGAGCACACTAAAATTTTGTATTACGTCTTCATAATATATAGGAGTTTGCCTCCTATTTCAGTTCAATTGTTGTAGGAAAATTGGACCTTTTTTTTCTTTCGGAAACCATGCTAAAACGTTGTAGTTAATACGAGGCATTTACATCTTTGTTTGGATTTATAGCTATTCTGTTCATCATTATGCTTCTTTAGTCTCCTCCAAAATTTTAAAATGTTCGATATAACCAAACATTTAACAGTAGACCAATTGTGAAACATCAAGCTTAGGCCGGCCTTAGATTATGGGACCCTAATAACCAATAGCCACAATTTCCTTCAGAAATTAATAAAATTCTGATGCGGACCATCATATACAAATATGTTCCATCACCATATGCGACACCCAACTAATTGTTTTCTTACCCACTTTCCCTAGTGTCCTTGGCTGAATTGGAAGACAGTCACACATGTGATGATGTATACTCATGTTGCAACGTTTCGATACCTTTTCCCCACAATTCATCATATTAACATTCAATTTCGTATCAAACCCTAACGTTAACAAGCTAGACTTCTTATAGGCAAGGTGAAGAGTTTTACTGTTGTTTTCACTAAAAGGTGAAAATTATGGCAGTAAGATTCATAACAATCAACGGTTGATAGTTGTACACGGATACATGAATAATGTGATTAGCATTTTCTTAAGATTAATAACCAAACTCTTGCTAATCACATTAACTTGAAACTAGTTACAGTTAAGAAAAAACAAACCGAATTAATTAATATAGTACAACTTCTGTATTATATTCGTAGACTGCAAAATGCATAAGTGAATCGAATTTCTATTAGTAGGAAATAAAGTAAAGTGATCTCCAATGCTCATATACTAGAATTTCACCGATACCTATAACATACTGTGTGATTACCAAGTCGCACAATCAATTCCAAGAACAAATCTACCTCATGCATGCATGTTTAATATTTCAACTGATAACTTCGTACGCTACTAGCAGCTGGCGATCATGGCTTTGGGATGGCTGTTGTATACATTACAATTTACAACCATGATTGAAGTCCTACGTGCCGTTTCATTCAGTTCAGACTTCAGATCATTTTTTTAGGGTTTTGGCAATGACTATCAAAAGCTGTAAAGGACTTTTAGGCTAGGGTTGGGCGGTGGAGGTGGCCCGCTTATAAGGAGCCCACAAGAGATTCACAGTACCTTTGCTGTACTCTTGTGCCACTGAATATGTGACACGTGGCAAAGCCATCACCAACCACGTGGTGGGATGTGGCTCCCTGTCAGCAATGGACATGGTATGGTCCTCTTTTGTGTTCAATTTGTGGGTCTACGTGACGAATCATGAATAACAGACATGTGACAGGTTGGGCAATGAAAAGGCTTTCGTGCTCTATCGATCTGACTTTATCTTTTTCCATCTCCTTGCATGATTTGAAAAATTAATCCTTGAGAATTTTATTAATCTTTTGCAAATACTCACCAATAAATAAAGAAAAATCGTCTTGCATGTGATAAGAATTTAAGCTAATTCACTCGTAATTAATGAAATATGAAGCCAAGATAATCACACTAGGAAGCTAGATTTGTGTGATTTATTATGAACTTCGTACAAGCAACCATCGAACTACCCCTAACTAATTTTACCATACAAGTCACCGCATTTGATTGCCAAATTAATTTCTGCTTATGCAAGATAAGACTAGAGTTAGCTAGTGTATTAAGCAAGCTTCTTTGTTGTAGGGTCATTGGATTAGAGAATTCTCCATATCATCGGCTTGGCTTCATCCAGAATCAAAAAAACATTTCGGCGTGAATGTGTGCATGTAAAAAAGTCGATCATTATACATGAGCATTGAATCACACGTAACAATACTGAAGCTACACCTCTATTTATTTTCCAAGGGCAAAACAACTTAGGTTGCGATAGTAGACTTTTTTGGGGCATATTTAGGCTTCTAGCTAACTTTTACCACCTCAAGTTGTTTGGTATAACATATCAAATCCGATTTTGACAAAATCATAGTAATTAAATGCATACAATTGGAAGGCCTTTGCAAACTCAAATGACTCCCCAAATGGACTTATTAGCTAAGAAATCAGTATCATTGTATTAAATAAAAAGTAGTCAAGAATGATTTTTTATAGGAAAATATTTTCTATACAAATTAGAAAATAATTTACATTAAATTCATCTAAACAACGAGAAGGAGAAGAGTTTGAACCTCATGTCATAATCAACTTAGAAGCTTACAGAAAGATCAAGAACAATTCAGTACAAGAGAGAGAGAGAGAGAGAGAGAGAGAGAGAGAGAGAGAGAATAGGCAGATAAGCTAACATCAGAAGTAGCTTTGTATGTTAACCCACAGTGTAGAGTCCCTTGAAGATATCGCATAATTCTCTTGACCAGGTGCATATGAAGATCAGTTGGATTTTGCATATATTGACAAACAAGGCTCACCGAATGTGCTATATCAGGTCGCGTAAAAGTGAGGTACTGCAAAACACCCACTATACTACGATAAAAGGTTGAGTTCGAGAGAGAAATGCCTTCAGAAGCAAGCAATTAAGTATGTGGTTTTGATGGTGTCAGTGAAGGTTTACAAGATTCCATCCCA